GCGTCGGGGGGGGCGGGGGGACGACTCCTTTGATCTCCCCGCATCAAAGGACCCGGAGCTCCCCCCCGCCGGCTCTGCCCCCCGCCCCGGCTGGGGTCAGGGGAGTAGGGGGAGGACAGCGAGAGTCCCGTCGTGTGTCCCCCCCGTGTCCCCGCACAGCGCCCGGCGCGGGGGGATGCGGAGCAGCCCCTCTCCTTTCCTGCAAGGCTGCGCTGGCGCCAGGAAGGACGCGGGGGAGGCGGCGGGGGGGAGACTTAGAGGAGACCAAAGGACCGACTCTGCCGTCGGGGGAGGACGGGGGGGGCTCTCTGCACCCACAGCGGCTCCCATCCACTATGGGGGTTTGCACAAGGGGGAGTGTCCCCCCTTCCCTCTTCCCGGTCCCCTCCGTCGGGCGCGCCCGGCTGGAGACAGCGGCGGCGTCGGGGAGTGCGGAGCATCTGGCCGGGAACAGGGGCGGGGGATGCTGGGGGGGACGTTCTACCCTCGCCCTTGCGAAACCCCCTCCCGACCAATGTGGGAGCCCTCGGGGCGGGGTGGGGGCGGTTTTGGGGGCTCACGGGTACAGCCCCCCCCCGGGAATGCTTTGAAATCCCAGCCGGCGGGCCCCCCGCCCCGAGGGGCGGGCAGGAGGCAGCCCCGGGGGTATAAAGGCGGCGGAGGAGCGCAGGAGCCGCTGCTCGCGGCTCGGTGCTGCTGCTCCGGGACACTGCGGGCACGGGAGGGCACGGGAGGCACCAGGATGCGGGGGCTGGTGGCGCTGCTGGCGGCGCTGAGCTGCGCGGCCCCGGCGGGGCGGGCGGCGGCTCCCGGGGGTGCCCTCAGCTCCAACGCCATCAAGGGACCCCCCCCGGGGGGGGCGGCCGAGGCCAGCGCCGCCCCCGCACCCCCTTTCGACGGCAGCAACAAGGCCCCGCCAGCCGCCACCCGGCAGGTAGGAGAGAGCATGGATGGATCGGGGGACACCGGGGATGGAGATGGGGACACATTTGGGATGAAGGGTGGGACGTCGGGGGTGAGGATGCACACACAGGGAGGTGGAATAGGGGGACACGAACGATGGAGGGGACACTGGGGGTGGAAAGGGTAGAAGAGGGGACACAGATGGATGGAGAGGCTGCCCAGGGGATGGAAGGGACACTCCGGGGATGGAGAGGGGGGACACCGGCGATGGAAGATAGGGACGCACCGGGTGATGGGGACACCTCGGGGGTGGAGGGGACACCGGGGACGGGAGGACGTCCCGGGGATGGAGGCGGGGGGAGAGAGGGACACATGAGATGGATGGAGCGGACGCGCCGGGGATTGGAGAAGGAGCACACTGGGGATGGAGGGGAGGACACTCGGGGATGGGATGCTGATCCCCCCGCCTCCTCTGTGACCCCCAGCCTTTCCCGTGCGCCGAAGATGAGGACTGCGGCCCCGAGGAGTTCTGCGGGGGGGCGGCCCGCGGCGGGGGGGCCCCGCTGTGCCTCGGCTGCCGGCGGCGCCGCAAGCGCTGCCTGCGCGATGCCATGTGCTGCCCCGGCATGACCTGCAGCAATGGTGAGGGCAGGGGACACCTGGGGCTGGGGGCCGCGGGAGGGCTCGGGGTCCCACGCGAGGCTGACAGCCGCCCCACCGACCCCGCAGGTCTCTGCACGGCCCCGGAGCCGCCCCACGGAGCGGCCGAGCTGGAGGAGACGGGCACTGAGGCTCTGCCCCGACGGACGCCCGCTCCCGCCTGGCTCCCCACTGCCAAAGGTGAGGAGTCCTGGCTGCTGTCACCCCGCTGTCCCCTGAGATCAGTCCGGGATGTCCATCCTGCACCTTTGTCCCCTGTGGGATGGGTCGGGATGCCCACTCTGTGTTGGTGCGCCGCAGGGGATCAGTCCAGGATGCCCTTTCTGCTCCACCATCCCCCAGGGGTTCGATCCGGGATGTCTCCCTTTCCCTGTGGGATCGGTCGGGGATGTCTCCCTTTCCCTGCTGTTCCCTGTGGGATGGGTCCGGGATGTCCCCCCAGTCCCGCTGACTCCAGAAGATAAACCCGGCGTGCCCAGCCCGCCCGTAGGGTGGTTCGGGATGCCCACTCCACCGTTCCCCGTGGGATCCATCAGTGTGGGGTGCCCACCCTGCCCCGGCGTCCCCGCCTGGCTGAGCATCCCCCCGCTGTCCCCACGCAGGAGAGGAAGGCGACTTCTGCCTGCGCTCGTCGGACTGCGCGGCCGGGCTGTGCTGCGCCCGCCACTTCTGGTCCAAGATCTGCAAGCCGGTGCTGCGGGAGGGGCAGGTGTGTACCCGGCACCGGCGGAAAGGCACCCACGGCCTGGAGATCTTCCAGCGCTGCCCGTGTGCCGAGGGGCTGGCGTGCCGCCTGCAGCGGGAGCACGGCCCCGCCGACGCGTCCCGCCTGCACACGTGCCAGCGGCACTGAGCGACACACGGACGGGACCGGACACACGGACGCGACAGACTCCGGCCCCGCCGGAGCGAAGGTTGTTTCTCAAGGGAACTACTCCTAAGCGACTTCTTGCAGTACGTTACTGTGTTGTGAATACTCGAGCTGGCACTTAGCTGTACATAACGCCGGGACTTTTAATGACTTTTCATGAGTTGTTTTGTGTTTCTCTGAGGGCGCTGCGCGGCGCTCCGCAAGCCGTGACTGTGACTTTGTACACACTGGGTTTTTAAGGGATGCCACCGTCTGCGTGCGAGCGAATAAACTCTTTAAATTCACCCTGCGCTGCCTCCACGTCCCTGCCCGTGCGGGGCTGCCCTGCGGGAGGGAGGAGGTGCCCGCGGGAAGGGGAACCGGGGCGGGGGACTCGCATCCAGCATCCCATGGGAAAGGCTCTTGGGTTGGGACTGTTTATCCAGCTGCTTTTTTGGGAATTCCGTGGTCGCCACCGATGCCCTCTGGCCACCAAAGCGAGGAGAGGAGGCGTGGCTGGGGCTCAGGGCCGGGCACCTGGCAGGAGAACCCAGGTTTAGGGGGCAGGAAGGAGCGAGGGATCGCTGGAGTGGCTGTGCTGGATCAACCACGGGTGCTGCCCGTCTCACCCCTTGCTCCGTGCACAATAAAGATTTATCTTTCCCTTCACTTTGTGGCTTTTTCCTGTGGCTCTCCAGCCTT